TGAACGCTCCTCCCACGGCTGCTGGTGAGATGCCAGCACCGCTGAAAATCTCAGTGCCCTATATAGGTGCTGATATGCAGACGAGGCACCTAAGCTAAGGATTCCTGCACTCAAAACATGCATTTGTGCTTTTGCTCTATTTTAGGTCCCTCATTTCCATCAGGTCCCATCAGGGCATGGGGATTAGCCCTTTCCTCCTCCTCCTCCTCCTCTGGAGAAGGCTTTACTGTTGTGGTAAAAGCAGGATGCTGCCACCAGGCATTGGGGTGATGTGGGACTGTGGCACAGGGGTGTCTTGCAGCCCTATCTCCAAGCTCATGCTTCCTCTGCAAGTCTCAGGACAGCAGGGACTCGTTTAGCTCATTAGGAAAGGCAGGGAGATGTGCCTTAGATCAGCCTCAGCATCTGCAGGGCCTTTCTGCCCAGGAGCCTTGTGCCCAGCCTTGGCAGCGCCTGCCCCTGTGAGAGAGCCAAAACTTGCTGGAAGGTAATTGCAGGCAGCGCCGGGAGCTGCCGGGCATCGGGCTGGGAACAGCGCGTCTGCTGCAGCGGGAAGTGCTGGGTTTGGCACCGTGCCTTGTTTGTTTCTAAACTTCATTTCGGTTGTGATGTAGATTTTGCAGAGGAATGCCAAGGAAAACCGCCTCTGTGATTAGAGCAGCACCTTGATGTGCTGGTGGATGGGGAGGAGGCAGCGGCGCGCACGCTGCCGGTGTGCTGCCTGCACGGCATCGCCGGGGCCGGTGGCAGGAGCGATTGTTCGTGTGGCACTTCTTCAGCTTCAGTGTGTGCCTGGAGCAGTCGGTGGCTTTTATAGGTACTCACCAGCACAGCTCGCTGGGCTTCCTCCAGACTGGGGGTGCTCCAAGCTGGAATCTCGTCCCTGGGTCATCCCTGCTCTGTACCGCACACAGGGAAGTGGGCAGCCTCGTGTTTGCGAGCAGGACGCGTGCATCTTCGTCTCCCTTTCCCCTTCCTCTTGCTCGTTCCTTCTCTCCCCCTCTTTGCTTTCTTTTTTCATCTCTTCCATCTGTCCTTCTCACATCAGGCTATTTTTGGGGGATGAGTTTCTCACTGTCAATATGGTAGGAACCGTGGTGCATCTCCTGTCTTAGAGGAGGAGCACCGCTTCCATTGCTGGGTAGCCTTCCCCAGCACTTAACATTGCTCAGTTCACTTTAACCCCCTGCCTTGACCCTCTCTTGGAGGTGTTTTGAGACTGGAGGCTAAAGTGCACATAATTTGAGGGCTCTGTCCACTGGGATGCAGGAAAGAGCCATCGGATTTAGTGCCCTTTAGCCCTGGGTCTCAAAATGCCTCTGAGCCTTGCAAGTGGTTATTAAGCAGCCTGAAGCCAAGCGTGGTGTTGGCAGGTCATTACTTGTGTCTTTGTAACTTCCAGGGGCTTTTAGTGAAGGCATGATGTTATCTTTTTCTTCACTTGGAAATGATGGCTGTAAATTGAATAGGAAATGCGCTACCAGATGTGAATTTTTAATACCTTTCATTTGCCAAAATACCTCCCAGAAAAATCAGGAGACAGCGGTGAGGCTGCGGAGCTGGCAGGGAGTTCACTGGGAGGGAGCAGACCTTGGCAAGCTCAGCTTGAGCTGCTGCTGTGCTTTGCTGCTCTCTTCTCCATCTGAGCATCTCGGAGCACTTGAAATGCCCAGAGAAGCTGTGGCTGCCCCATCCCTGGCAGTGTTCAAGGCCAGGTTGGACACAGGGGCTTGGAGCAACCTGCTTTAGTGGAAGGTGTCCCTGCCCATGGCAGGGGCCTGGAACTGGATGATATTTAAGTTCCCTTCCAACCTAAACCATTCCATGCTTCTGTGATTCTATGAAACATGGGGACAGTATTTAGTCTCAAATTATCTGCCTGAGGCAGATGAGCTAAATGCCACCCAGATCCCACAGCACCCTGGCAGAGCTGGGGTGCCAGCCAGGAGCTCAGTGTCATGGTTTAATGGTTGGAGGTGCCAGAATGAGCGGCCTCAGCTTTCCATGTCCAGGTACAGCACTTACCTCCCCGACCCTGGAGTTCAGAGGAGAGCGAAGGTCGGGCTTGGTTCTTGTGTTGTAGTTGTCTTCCGTGGGAGGAACGAGATGAGTTGAGGTTTGCCTGCACAGGGATGCTCAGGGAGGCAGATCTGGATGAAATAAAAAAGTGAATTTAAAGTAGATTGTCTAAAACTCATTAAAAGCCAGTGTCACCTTTCTGGCTCAGTTAAATAGCTTTAATTCTGTGCATTGAAAATCTACTCTTTCCTTCCAAGTGAGACTGTGCACAAAAGGGTTCATGTCATTGTGCTAATCCCTTCTAGCAGTAAACCTGGAGTAACTGTCAGGTAAGTGACACTGCAGACAAGTGCACAAAGGCTGGGGTGGAGTTGGTGAAGAGCAGTGAAAGGAGGGTGCTTGTGCAGCCCCTCTGGAGCCGGGTTGGCAGCTCCGCTCAGGCTTGCACTTCTATAAGGTTTTTGTTACCTGGGAAGCAGCTGTTTTTCGGGTGAGATTTGGAGTGATTTTTAGTTTTCTTCAAAAAAATTCCTTATTTTCTCAGCAGTTAGATTTTTTATGAGAATTTGGGTGCCTGGTGGGAAGAAGGAGAGGTTTCAGTGTGACATCTCAGGGCTGATTCTTCCCCCTGTGACTGGCGTAAAGCAGTTCATTCATTTGGAAGCCAAGAGCTTCCATGTGCTTTAACCATGGCACAGAGTGGCCAAAGCCATTGTTGGTGTGGTTTATGGTCTGTCCATCACTTTGGAGTCCCTTTTACTCATGGTGCCTTTATGTGAGTGAGGTGTTTATTCCCCTTGTGAGCCCATGGCTCTGGGGAAGGTGTCCTAGGGCTTGTGTTGGCTCATCCTGATGCTCCTTGACCCACAGTGGCACCAGACCTTTGGGGTCTGCAGGACCCCATCGAGGTGTGTGATTAAATGTGCCATTGCTGTTTGGTTTTCAGGAGTGTTCTTCTACCTTGGGGAGCCGCAGCCAAAATAAGCCCTTGTTTGTACAGTGCTCCTGGCTGCCAGCTGGCAGTTTATTAGGAGAAAAATCAAATAATTTGCTGTTTCTTTCCCATAAACACCTCTGCAAGGCATAAAAATCTCCTGTGCAAAATGAAACATGAGTGGAGGGGCTTGAGCAGCCCCTGCTGCTAATACGTGATAATCCAATTTGGCAGGAGGGAGGCTGAGCTGACGAGCTCCTTCCCAGGGCTGTGCTTGCCTCTGGTTTGCAGCTGGAGAAAGCCTCAGTAGTTTGTCATTAATAAATTCCAGGGCTTCCCTGAGGGATGATAGACCCACCTGGGGCTTGTTATGACTGGGAGCGATGGCACAGAGACCACTTGGGTGTGAACTGACTTACTGCTCTGTGATGGGTGCACAAGCAAGCTAACAGTCAGCAGAGCAGGGAGGGAAGTGATTAGAGGACTCAACCTCCCAGTTTTTACCTAGTTTGAGCTCTTTTTCCATGCATTAAGGCCAGGTTGGGCTTGGAGCAACCTGGTCTAGTGGAAGGTGTCCCTGGCATGGCTGGGGATTGGAACTGGATGTTTAAGTTCCCTTCCAGCCCAACCCATTGCATGATTCTATGAAGATGGCAGGTCAATGGCTTTCTTTTTGCAAGCGGGTTATCTGTGGGCAAGGCTGGGTGAGCAGCCCTAAGGGTGCTGGGCTGCTTGGGGGAGCCCCTTGGTGGCAGAGGAGCCTCTGGGGCTGCATTGGAGCCCCTCGTCTAGACAGAAGCACCTCCTCACCCCAGCACTGGCTCCCTCAGCTCCTTCCCTCAAGGTTCCAGGATCTCTCTCAAATTGAGCATCATCTCCCGTGGGTCCCCTGGGTCTGATGCTGGGGGGAATCTGGTGATGGTGTCCCCTGGGATGGCGGCTCCATAGGCACAGCCTGTGCTCCCTGCAGGCGTTTCAGCGCTGGGGTGATGAGCTCCTCCCTGCAGCCTTCTCAGACAATAAAAGAAGAGTAGTAGCAAACTAAATCATGTCGCAGGAAGGCTGCTCTGTGCGCCTTGCAGCTGAGGGATGAATTAGCTTTCCTTTGGACTCATGTTTTAATTGAAATGTGAATTTATTGCTTTTATTTAGCTCGAGCTATGCTGGAGTGCTGTACATTCATAAAGCACAAAGCAAACTAAAAGAGAAAAGCTTCCTGCGCTGCAGCTGACCCCTTTGGTCATTATATGTCTCATTTACCCTGACTCATGTTAAATTAGGACAGGAGAGCGGGTGGCACTGCTGGGCACTGGGAGGCAGGGATGGGCTCAGGCTCAGAGCTGGGCAGTCCCAGCTAACACCAGCGGTGACAGAGACCATGGTCATCTGTGGGGATGGATGTGTCTTGAAGAGAACATCGTTTTTGCAAACAGGTATTTTTCCCTTGCAGCTGCAATTGCTTTGTTTCATAGCGCTGTGCTGCTGTCTGTCTGCGTGCCTGTGGGATGTACAGTACACGAGCACGGCCCCTTCCCCTCCCACTGCTCTTGTACATCTTTGTGTTCTTCTTCCTCCCCCTGCTGTGACCTCCTGTGCTACCCTCATCATTCCTTTCTGTTCTTTTATTTTGTTAACCTTTCTCTGGTGATCACCTGTGTCTGTAAAACCAGCTCTGTGAAGGTGTGCGTAGGAGAAACACAATGTTAGGTTCCTAAAAACACCTCAACCAGCATCTTTCAAAATCTGATTTCTCTGTGCAGTGTGACACTGATTTGAGACAGAGCAGTGATGCAGATTGTGAGGCTCTTTAAAGGAAATGTAGAAAGGAAAAAAGGCATAAAAAATGTTTTTGTCCATGGAGCTGAGTCCTTAAAGAGGCAAAGCCACCAGAGCATCACGGGGACCCCAGTGGGGACATATCCCAGGCACAGACCAACCCCTGGCCAAGCACCTGGGCGGTCGCTTGTCCCTCTGGCGCTGGCATTCCCTGTGTCCCTGCCTGGCAGCTGTACGTTCCCTCACCTCCTGTGATGCTCTCGCTCTGTAGGCCTCACGCCGAGGACTTCAGCGTGGATTCCTCCTTCTCACAGTAAGTGCACCGCACGCGTTGCCCTGCGCCGGCGCTGCGGGAGGGGGCGAGGACTAATGCATCCCTGGGGACCGTCACTTTTCCATCAGGGAACAGCCAACTTTGTTCTCCAGAGAGTGAAAACCTCTTCCAACGTGGGGTGTTTGTGTGGTGCATGTGTGCATGGTGTCTTGTGAGCCAAGTGCTGGGAGATGCGCCGTCCCTCGAGACATTCCAGGCCAGGCTGGGTGTGATTCTGAGCAACCTGATAAGTTGAGGATGTCCCTGTTCATCGCAGGAGGGTTGCACTAAATGACCTTTGAAGGTCCCCTCCAACCCAAATGATTCTGTGGTTCTACTGTGGGCAGTATCTGCTGGCAAGACTAGTGGTTAGCCTTCACTTTAAATTAGGGATAGATTGTTCCACTTTAAAGGGAGCTGATAAGCATAAGATTTGTCCTTCGCTGCTCTTGGCACCAAGAAGTTGTGTACGGGACCAGCAAACCCTTCTGAAAGAGCAATGGTTCCCACCATGGGGAGGACTTTGTGCACTCAGAGACACACAGTGGAAGAAGTGATATCCTTGGCAGCAAATTGGTGATTACCCATTAACGATGAGCTCCGTGCACAGACCCTAATTAAACAATTGAGATTCATCAGCAGAAGCAATTATAGGAGCAGACTCATGAATGTCAATCTCCAATGTTGCAAAACAAATAAACCAAACAAAACAGTGTTAACACCATTGCTTCATCTTCCTGGGTTTTAATCTTTTTTGCTAAAGCCTGGTGCCGGGGCTCCCAGCCTGGGGTGAAGCAGCTTGGGATGAAGCAGCGTGTCCCGCTTCCTCCCAGAGCCAAACTGGTGGTTTTGGGAGCACGGAGTGTTGCTGGGTCATTGCTGTGCAACTCCACCACTTGCTCTCAGGTATTGAGGGCATTTGCATGGAGAGATCTTCAACCCTTGGAACCTCCAGTGCTTTGTGTAGTGCCTGAAAATGAGCTCTGTACCCGCTGAGTGCGGTTGGAGAGGGATTATCGCTGCCTTCAGGGAATAAGGAATTGATAAAAATCCCATTTCCATTGCAATATCCTCCCTAATAAAATAGAGAAAAAAAAGTCTGGCAGCAGATTTCTTTTCTATCACTACAGATTCATGAAGCCTTTCCTGCAGCGTGTGCCTGGGCTGGCCAGTGCCTGTGTCCCAGCTCAGCAGAGCCCTTGTACCCTCAGTGCGGTGCCTCATGTCCCACTGACACAGGAGTGCTTGTGTGGATGAGTTCGAGGCATCACTCATCTCATGGGGCAAGATGAGTGGCCATCAGGACTGGCCTGTGAAGCCGAGCATGGTCTTGGGCAGAGTTTTTCCAGAAGTGGTTGCTTGGAGCTTGCTTTTCATCCCCAAAACAAAACTGCAGTGTTGGTGCTGGAGCCAGGATGACATTACCTGCATCCTGCTGTGTTTAATTTGCTGTAGAATGGTTATTGCTCTTTTCTTCGGGCAAGAATCACACTCCATAATAAAACAGGAGAGGCTTTTTTCCCTCAGTGTATTTCCACAGTAAAAAACCCAAGTTTCTGAGCTGGTCCTGGGGCAACACGTGCCACAGCAGCCTGGTTCCCAGAGCAGGGTGTCTATCGGTGTGGGTCTCAAGTTTGCTAATCGTTGTTTGTGCCTCAGCACATGCTCTGCCCAGAGCCCAGGCAGCTCAGTAAACTCATCCCTGGTGCTGTGTGAGTTGTGGCTTGAAGTGTTCCATCAGTCTGGATGGGTTACCAGGCAGCCTGGCCGGGAGGCTGGATCCCACAGGGCTGGAATGGCAGGAGGCTGATGCGGGACCTGCTGAGCCCCCTGGGGCTTGATGCTTCCACAGTCCATGGGGATTGTCAGAGCCCCTGTTGTGGCTGGTCCCACACGGAGGGGATGCAGGGCACACTGGGGCTGTGGCAGGAGACATCCCCCTGGAGCTGTGCAGCCCTGTGCAGTTCCGAAGCCATTTCTTGCACGCCCACCGGTGCCGAGCCAGTACAGCCTTGTTGAAACCCACAACCCTCCTCCTTTGAGTAATTGTTCAATTACTGCTTGTTGAGCGTGGGGGCAGCTTGTTCCCTGTTTTCACTTTGGCAGGCACCTGGGTTTTCTGTACACTCACAGCTGTACAGCTATTCCCCCTTTCCATCTCAAAACGATGCAGTGGGAGAAGCTCATCGCACCTGTGAGCCAGGAGCTCTGGTGGGAAGAGCTGTAGCTGCCCCCCATCCTCTGGATAGTTGGGGATGCCAAATGCATAGATAATGGAGGTGGTGTTCAGTACACAAAGCTCACTCGGTGTCATCTGTCTCACTGTAGCTTCAATACCCAAATGCTTGTTATCATTAAGAAAAGGTAGAAAGAAGGAAAGAGCATCTCTGAAGGAGGTCGGGAGGGTTGGCAGCTGCTGGAGATATGCCTGGGTAGTTTGTGTGGTTGCTGTCAGCAGGTATCTGAGCCTCAAGCTGCATCTGGTACCCGCAGCCCATCCCTGATGATCCCCCTGGGCCATCAGCACATCTCTTTAATTCCAGACTTGGCCACAGCCACATTTCTTATGTATTTGATCCGTGTGGTTTTTGCACGGAGGATGCAGAGCTGTCCTCTGGGCTGAGCTGGAGTGGTGGGATGAAGCGGGGTCTCACTTGAGACTGAGCTGCCTTGGCAGGAGTGGGTGATGGCACCCACCAGATTGCAGAGATTTCTGGGGTTTTTTGGGGGGGTTTTTTGATGTTTTTTTTCCCCCTAAAAAAGATCTCTGAAGAGTCTCTTTTGCATCTCACTACTGATGAAGTTTCTTGAGAAATTTCCTGGGACAAGAACAGCATTTCCCACCCAGCCAGAGTGTGAGAACAAGGATTGGAGCTGCAGAGAGATGCCAGGATTTTTCTTGTCTTGTGCTCATCCTGGTCTTGCATCCTGCACTTTTCCAAACAAACTATTCTGTCTTTTTTTGGATCTCATAATCTTACAACAAATTGCCTCTAATCTTAGATTAATAAAGTACAATAAATAACTGAGCAAAGAAAATGAAATTGCTCAGGCATTATGAAGCGCATAATAGCGGTAATTACACTTCCAAGCAGAGGGCTTGTAACTAGACTTGTACTGATGATTATCTGCACAGCCTGGGGGGATCAGCCAGCATGAGGCAAGGGGGAGCGGGGTGCTACCTGCTCCCTTCCTGCAGAGCCTGCTGTTGCCTGTGCCCCTTGGTGCTGCCTGGGCTGGGCTGGCTCCACACTGCCTTGTTGTTGGGAGGGATGCTTGGCTGTTAGGAGGGATGCTCAGCTCTGGCAGCAGGGAGGGGACAGCTTGAATGGACCAGCTTGGCTGAGCTGCTCTGAAGGCAGAGCCCGTTGGTGTGTGTGCTTTGGGTGGTAACACAGTTGGAGTTTAGCTTGATTTTCATTTGAAGTTAATTTCTTGACAACGAAATTGAAGGGTATGTTTTAGATGATATCATCTCCTTCTCTCATCTGGAAATGGAGGAGCTTTGATACTTCTGGGTGGTTGCTGCTGCCTTGAAAAGCCATCACTCATTCAGCTCTGGGGTGTTGGCTTAGCCTGGTGCCTGCAAAGCGGGTGCCAGTGCTGGACCACAGCGGCTCCCCAGTCCCCATCATGCTGAGCCCTTGCTTTGCGCCCCCTCCTCCTGCAGACAGAAGCCCTGTGGGACAGTCGCCCTCAGCAGGGCATTGGTGGGGCCATGGCTGTGGACCCCCATTCAGCTCCAGGGGCTCAACCCACTTAGCAGCAAGGGCAGGTTGTCTGCACAGGAACACGTTCTTTCTACTTTCTCTTATTCCTTCATCTCTTTGCACTGATAAACACCCGCTTCCCCCTCCCCATTACCTGCTTCAGTTGCTTTCCAAATGTTTCCTCTTCCTGCAGCCATCAAGATGGATGAATACACGGGCTACTTTGTCATAAAAAGTTAGATCTCTTCTAATCATTCAGTTCTTTTATCCATCAGCGTTTATATTCATAGTCTCGTGGTGGGCTGCGGCGCTCTAGATCAGCAAACCATCTGTCTGGCGACAGAGATTTATATTGCTGTTTGTTTCTTTGATACGGAGGCGAATGTCTGGGAGGGGAATCATGCTCCCTGAAGTCTCCCTCTCCTCAATGCGTTTAATCCTCAGGGACTCTGATGAATGGGGTGCCCAGCACTCATGACGGAGCTGAAGGCCAGTTCCTAGCATTTCCTGGGCATTTTTAATAAGGAGAAGGAGCAATTAGCTTGTGTGTGCGGTGTTGTGAGAAGTCGGGGCAGCTGATTTATGCCCTGACACGGATAAATTATTTGCTAAGCCTGGCTCTGGAAATTATTAATTTTACTGTGTGTTAAAGCTGTGCTTGTGAAGCTCTGCAATTATGGCTGCTTGCTCCTAAGGCATCGTGCTGGCTGAGCCAGTGCTCATGAATCCTCCTGCTTCACTCCTCGGTGCTTGTGGTCCCTGTGGCAGGGCCTGTGCTGCTCACCAGCCTCCCTGCTCCCTTCTTATGCCAGCGAGACGGGCTGGGGAGCAGGTGCTGCGTTCCATGCAAGGACCCCTTATGCTGTGTGGTCCCCGTGAGCATCAGAGCTCCAGGGGAGGTGCAGGCCCAGCTCCTGCCCATGCTGCTGCCAGGGATATTTGGGGTGAGGTGTGTTCGCAGGGAAGCCCTGCAGCTGCTGCCACGGGTCCATTTGTGTGGAGCATTTTCTTGGCTGGATGCTGTGTGATGTCCTGCTGGTGGGTTTGCTGAGCGCTGCCAGCGGTACCCGGGCATCCCTCCCCTTGGCAACCTCAGCAGCACAGATGCCAAATGTCTTAACAGAGGTTGGTGAGTGCTCCACCGAGGCTGTCGGTTATTGTCACCTCTGTCGCAGAGCTGCTCGGTGTGTGACATCCTGCCGAGGGAGCCGGGCAGGGCACGGGGGCTGCAGAGCACACACGCTGTTCGCTTCCCTGATAAGGCTCCTGCTTTCTTTCCTCTCCAGCACTGTTGATGGGGACAAGGTGACCCTACAGCATGGAGCCCCTGGGCTCTGCCTACAGCAGCTCCAGAGCAAGAGGGGCTCAGATGGGTCTGCATCACCCACCCCTCCGGCTGCACTGGCCCAGACTGTGCTGCTCCAGCAGCATTAGTGAGATGCTGGAGTCCAGGCTCCTTAGATTAAAAATCTGACTTTTCAGCCTAAGGGACTGCACGGGAAGCTCTGAGGAGCTGTCACTCATGTGCCATGCTTTTTACACACCACTCGGTGTCCCCACGAGCTGTCGGTTTGACTGTGAAATGCCAGCGGGCACCGGTGGGTACCAGGACCTGGGACTCTGGAGCAATGAGGGTCTCATCAAAGCCCTTCCCAATTTGCTGCCCTGTCAGCTCATCATGAATACACAGTAAATACCTGATTATCCCTCTGTTGTCAGCGGGAGCAGCAGCTGCTTTCCAATAGATCCCGATCTGGTGGCGTGTGCCAGGCGGCATGCTTGGCTGGAGCCAGCACCATGTGTGCATGGGGGTTGCACAGGAGAAGTGAAAGGGGATGGTAGCTTTAATGACTGTCACTGTGAATTTGCTCACACTGGTCTGTGCCTTGGCTTGGTAATAGGCCTGATTAATGAGATCTTGATGACCTCTTCCAAGCAGTTAAGAACATAGTAATAATAGTAGCACTTTCTTAAGAGACTTGTTGAATACAGTGAAATAGGGGAAATGGCTAATTTATATTGCACTTAACTCCATTATCAGCTGTAACAGTAATGAGCAGACTTTGTCTTGCTCAGAGTCTGAAGCTGAGACATCAGGAAACAATCCCTTTCTGCCTGCACTTAGCAGGCAGGAGTGTAATTTGTAACCCTGCCTAGTATGAACAAGTGAGTTTGAAAAGGGCTATGGGCGTTTATAAAGCAATAGGAGAGGAGGGTGGCAGATGAGCTGAGCAGGACCAGGTTGGCCTGCACACCATTAATCTGGGTGTGCTTGATCCCAGACCCTGCTGAGATCCATGGGGATGAACCTCCAGCCTCAGTGAGGCTTTCCCCATGCATGAGCATCCATCCGGCATGTGGGGACTAGCAGGAGGGATGTGGATGGGTGTCAGTGATGGAGACTGGAGCAGCTGAAGACGAAGAAGGTCACAATGGTGGATGAGCCATGTTCAGTTTCATGTGGCTCCTCTCTGCTGGTTTCTGTGCAGTGCCCCAGCATGTGGCTCTCACCATAGTGTCTTGTCCCCATGCCACAAGTCACCAGCAGCTCCAAATGCCAAGTGACGTTTGGAGTTGGTTGTCAGCTCCTGGGTTTTTCTGGAATGGCCAAATGTGGTTTCTTAGCAACAAAGGGTTTTATTTCTCTTTTTAGATCAGATTTGTTGTTTAACAGCTTCAATGCTGAACGCTGCTCCCGCCTGGGCAGAGCCAGGACATGGTTGTACCGGGGGCATCGCCCTCACTGGCTCCTGGTCTGATACAGCCACAGGGGCTTGGAGCAGATCGAACGTTGCTGGGGAGACTGCTCCAAGGCCAACACTTTTCTGAGAGGCTTTGAATGCTGTGACACATGTGGGAAAGGAGAAGTTTGCAAGTCTGATGTCAGCTGGTTGCATGTGAATGAAAGCCGAGCCCTCAACCCAAAGGCGGACCCGGGCCCCATGGGTCACATCTGCATCTTTGGTAGTCGTTAATGCACCATGTCTTGGTGCTCAAGGCTGATGGTACCGGTCATTTGGTACTGTGGAGCCTGGGATCTGCTGTGGGATGCTCTGGGGGGGTCACGCAGCTGGGATGGAGGGACAAGGCTCCTGGGGGGCTCTGGGTCCAGCGTGCCACCCCACTGACATGCTTCTCTGGTGCTTTCCACACAGGGTGCAGGTCGAGTTCTATGTGAATGAAAACACCTTCAAGGAGCGGCTGAAGCTCTTCTTCATCAAAAACCAGCGATCCAGTGAGTGCTCCATGTGTGCAGTGACCACCTGCTGGGAGAAGCCAAACCCTGCCCCAGCTGGGAGATCCAGGCTCCATCCCTGTGGGATGAGAAGCCATTGCCACCTGCTGGTGGCTGCTTCCCCTGGTGTCCTCAGTGCCTGTTGGCCTTTCTGTTGGGTGCTGGCCAACTTGGTGTGGGGGGATGAGGGTGCATGGGGATGCTGATTGTCACCTTTGCTCCTTGGAGACAGCCACAGCATGGAATCCAGTTGGGATCGCCAACTGGAGCAGGGTGGGTGTTGGGAGCTGCTGGGGTGGGGATCAGGGAGCAAATGTCCCCATCATGGTGCCAGTGATGTCCTCCTACCCACAGGGAGGTCAGTGGCTGGGGGGCAGCCGAGGCAGGCTGTGAGTTACCCACTCTCCCAGATTAGCCTCCACTTGACTAATGGTGTTGTTATTTTCTTTCTCCGAGCTGTCATTAGCTGTCTGGAGGGAGTCTGCTCCTTAATTTATAAATTCACATTTTCCTTTCCACCCTGCATCCCGTCGTCTTGTTAAAGAGCTGGAGCGCAGCACAACAGGGTGCCCACGGGGAAGTTTTTAATGAAAATGTGATGAATTCCTCACTTGTAATTTGAATAACAACCCCATGAACTGGCTGGAGATGGATTGCGGATAAAGCAGCACCTTTTGCTCACCATCCCTCCTGCAAGCTGGGAGCAGAGCGGGGCCCTGGCCCTGCCTGTCTGATGCTTTTTAATGGATGCTCGCTAATGAGGGGGATACACTCCAGCAGCTCCTCATTTGTGTCTCACATCTATTGGGGTCAGCAAGGAGCTGACTCATGGTTATTTATGGCTATGTTGGTCTCCTGTCTGACACTGGGTATGATGCAAAGCATGAGCAGTGTTTGCGTGTCACCCTGGGGCTCCTGCAGCTCCTCTGGGGCTCAGTGGGGTCCTGTGCTGCGGGGGGCTGTGCTGCGGGGTGCCCGGCTCCTGCTGCCTGGCTCATGCTGTGCTCCCTCTGCTGCAGGTCTGAGGATCCGGCTCTTCAACTTCTCACTGAAGCTGCTCACCTGCCTCCTGTACATCGTCCGTGTCCTGCTCGACAACCCAGAGGAGGGCATAGGCTGGTGAGTGCCAGTGATGCCGCTGGGCTCCCCAGGCCATGCACTGGTGAGCGTGGATGCGGTCCTTACCGCGGGTGAGGAGGTGCACAACGGGGGGGTTTCCTCGTTCTGTTTCAATAGGTACTTTAGCAAACCTGCTGGTCTGGTGGGCTTTGCTCCCTGCTCAAACCCCGTGGATGTGGGTGCCCGCTTGCCCTGCACAGCAAAAAGATGGTGGGAAAATTAGGGTGCTTTTCATTTCCAAATGCTGCCTGGCTCTGATGATCAGGGCTGCACCGTGGCCTTCAGACACAGGCAAGAGCTCATCACTTCAGTGCATCACCATGCAAGTGTTTTCTGAATGCTGATGCCCTTGAAGACACTTCTGCTAAATCCCATTTAAGTGTTTGGGAAAGAAATACATTGTGCCATTTAAATCCCTGAGGTGACAGATGATTACATACAGCAGCTTTGCTCTGGGTTTCAGTGTAAGCCTATTTTTAATATGTCCTTGCTTTGTTTAGCTCGTGTACAAAGTGGGGTTTTTGCTAGGAGAATTAGCAAGTTAACTTTCTCTTTGCAATGGTTGCAGAACTACCAAGTGCATCCACGTGCTCCAAAAGGGCTTTCAAACCTGTGAGATTTAAGCATGACACAGATGCACACCCTTGAACAGTTGAGCGCTGCTGCTGCTCGGGGAAGTTCCCTTTCCTGAGGGTGCATGATAAAATAAAGGGGGGCCAGTGGGATTGCATCCCTTGCAACAAGGCAAGGGGAGAGCTGTTTGAGGCCAGCTAGCCTTGTGCCAGGAGCTGAAGCTCAATTGTATGCTGTATACCAGTTGTATCCTGGTAATTCCCAGCTGCAGCCATGTGTTTGAATACTGTGCCCAGGTATCAGCATGTTGCAGCATAAGGGTGAAGTACCTGGTGGGTCGTCTTCTCCAGTAATGAGATGTTCAAAACTGCCTGGGTGAGACAGACTCCTGTGGAAAGCCCCAGTTATAGGGACCAGTGTGTGTTTGGATCCATGGGAGTGCTCTCTAGGGTCTTCCCCAGTATCAGGACACCCCATGAGCCCAGCGAGCCAATGGCAGCACCCTTTCTCCTTCCTCCTCCTCTCTGACTGCTTTCCTCTCCTTTGCCTTTCTCTTCTAGCTGGGAATGTGAAAAACAGAATTACACAGCGTTCAACCAGTCTACAAAGATAAACTGGTGAGTTGAGGCTTGTTCCAGCACTGGGGTCCAGCTCTGCCAGCGTGTGGGAATGCAGTGATGGATGTGGCTGCTGCTGGCAGCTGCCCAGGACCATTTCTTGGTCTCAGGGCTGCTCGAGGCATGCAGAGCAGCATCCCGGGATTGAAATAATTGACAGTGCCTGTGGCTGCACCCCCGGGAATGGCTTATTCCCTGTGCAGCCATTACTGCTGCACTTAAGCATTACATAAAGCATTCCTTACTGCTTGAACAAACTGCAGTAAAGAACTCCGGTACCAGTCCTGTGCTGGATCCTGCATTGATAATGATGTGTTTGGTGGGGGGCAAAAGCATTGCTGGTTGGGCTACAGATTAGATCTGTTTTGATTTTTTCCTTGCAGGTCACACATCTTCTGGGTGGATAGAAAAATGCCACTGTGGGCTGTGCAGGTGAGTGCCCACACCTCAGGCACGGCTGTGTGGGAGCACAGGGCTTGAACTGTGCCACCAGCAGGTCTCTCTGCATCCTCTGCTGAAACAATGAGGAGCAATGGGTTATCTTCAGTGAGCAGAAAATGAGCTGCAGCTTCTGCTGGGAGAATAACGTGGTCCTGGGTGAAAGTCACAGGGACGAGGAAAAGGAGAGGAAAAGCTGTAGGAAGATAAAACCATGAGGCTGGCTCAGCTCCTCCCCAGCCTGGGTGCAGCTGTACCCGTAACGGGCTGTTCCCAGGGGAATAGCTTGGGAGAGGGTTGAGCATCCGTCAGCTTCTGCTCAGGGCTGCCTGGAGCTCACACGTCCAACCCGAACAAATAGGTCCTCACGTGCGGTACCCACGGGCTCCTCATCACCCAGTGCAGGGCAGGCCTGGGGAGCTCTGACCGCCTGGCGCTGCGTGGAAGGAGCTCTCAGCAGCCTTTGCCTGTCTGTCTCCGCAGGTCAGCATAGCTTTAATCAGCTTTCTGGAGACCATGCTGCTCATCTATCTCAGCTACAAGGTACGTGCCCCGCGGCGGGCAGCGGACGTGATGCACAGCCTGGGTCAGATCCCCAAGTGTGAATTCATTTCTCCTCCTTTGAGCTGTCTGAAGCCTGAGGCATCCTGAGAGGACATTTGTGTCAGTGACGTCTCAGGCGGCTGTGGCTGTTTTCTTCCCTCATTCCCCCTCGGGCTGCTGGATAAGTGCTGTGCAGAGCAGAGAGGGGGGATCTCTTTCCTTTAAATTCAGCCCTGTTTACCAAAACTCACTCTTTTTATGGGGGACAGATTGACGCATGCTGAGTTTCCTAAGGCTGAGGACCTGGAGCTGAGCTTGGCAGCATGACTCCTGTGCTGAGGTCTGCTGCCACCGGAGGGAGACGGCACAGCTCCA